CTCTGTGTGTGTGTGTGTCTATCTATCTATCTGTGTGTGTGTGTGTGTGTGTGTGTGTGTGTGTGTGTGTGTGTGTGTGTGCGTGCGTTGCTATGTTTCACTTCTTCTTCATTGCCTATCTCACCCTGGATCAGGATAATAAAGGCCACGAAGCTTTGTGGCACTAGAGAAGAACAAAATCTGAGTTTTGATCCTGAAATATTGTGTACAAGTCACTCTCAACCTCATTTTCAAACAAACCTCAATATTTTCGTCCATCTGATACTGATACTAATAACAGAAGGGTACAAGGGGCTAAAGCAAAAGAAACTTCGAACAGAAGGTTGTTGTTGATCGAAAATGGTGCTTTTATTGATATTACAATTGTGACAACAATGTAGTATCACATATCAGAAGGTTTTTTTACTTCAAAGAAACTTGACGAAAATTACGGAGTGTCCGATCGTGGTTTTTGGTTGTTCCTTAAATATGATGAAATGATAGTATATATAATAATATATATTATTATGCAATATATTGCATTACATAATACATGACAAGGTCATACGTAATGACACAAAGTCAAGCTCACAGGAAAACCTTTCAATAAAACTGTATCGGTAAAGTCAGAGCCAGTCAGGATTATTGTTCACACGGAGTCCTATGAGACGACCCCCCCCTCTCCTCTCCTCTCCTCCGACTCACCCTGTACCATTACACAGAGGACAGACATTTCTGACAGAGCAATGTATAACCTGGTCATATCATGGTTATATTCGCACTTAAATGACCAAAATTTAGTCGAGAGTGCCGTAAAACACCTACTCATGGTTATATTCTGCTGTGGGCGGTTGGCGTATGTTCTTTTGTGGATTTCTCTTTCTTTTCTGTCAAACATCTATCTTCCTTATCATTCCTCCTTTGTGTTCCTTAATATGTTACTATATTATAATACGGAGTTGATAGTACTGTAAAACACATACTCAATCAATCAATCTTTCAATCTAACCCACTCAATCAGTCAATCATTCAATCTAACCTACTCTATCAATAAATCATTCAATCTAACCAACTCAATCAATAAATCATTCAATCTAACCTACTCAATCAATAAATCAATCAATCAGTTGTTCAACATTCTCTTACAGCACCTCTAATTTTTGGCACCTAGAGATCTATATTACCTGTGTCGCAAATACCTTACTTCTGTAGAAAAACGTAACTGAATAGTAATGCCTGGCCTGTCAATTTCTCATACTGTCAACAACTAACGTTTATCACACATTTTGGTCGTGAAGGCCTCACGTGATAAACGATATGTTTTAATGGTCGTCTGTGTACTCGGCCTGAGGGTCTGTGAAGGGATGAACCATTGGTCCTCAATCGCTTTATTTTTGCATGCAATATGAACCCCAAGCAAACACTCAAACACTTCAGTGTGTAGTAAACCGGGTGACCTTTATTTTGGAGCAAACGCAGAATCAATATGAGAAAATCTACAGTCCAACTGCAGTTTGTAATTTTGCTATTACACCTTCCGCTAAACGACCAACTGCAGTTGACTGCAACAAGGCTTCAAGCGTGGCTGCAGTAAAAAAAAACCTGTCCTGACTAACTGTTTGTCTTGCAGTTAAAAAGCCAGTCCGGACTAACAGTACGCGTAATCCACCCATAACTGAACGAGTAATCCACTCATAACTGTACGTGTAATCCACCCATAACTGTACGCGTAATCCACCCATAACTGTACGTGTAATCCACCCATAACT